TTGATGACGAGCCCGAATTCATTGTCGTCATCGCTTGAAGCCTCTTCCACCGGTTCCTTGGTGGCTTTGAGAGCTATCCCCTTTTTCTTTTGTTCATCCAAAGACGGGGTTAGAATAGTAGATTCATAGGTTTTAAGGTTACCTCTTAGCCCGTCGATGGTGACGTTGGAGACTCCGATGGATTCGTAGATTGCATCGGCTTTTGACCTCCATTCGGGTGTGAGGCTCCGTAGGATTTTCCTCACGAGATCCTTGTTGGTGTAAGTCTTTTTGAGAGCATGAAGATCGTTGATGATCTTTGAGAACCGGTCGAACATGTCATCAATTTTCTCACCTTCTTTCATCCGGAACATTTCGTACTCTTGGGTGAGAAAGTCGATCTTGGCTTCGCGAACTTGATCGGTACCTTCGTACGTCACTTCAAGCTTGTCCCACATCTCCTTGGCGGTTGTGCAACAGGAGATTTTTTGGTAGTCATCGGGGTTGACCGCGCAATATAGCATATTGATGGCCTTTGCATAGTTTTCAATCTTCTTGATGTCCTCGGCATCAAATTCGTCTTCGGTCTTTGGGACCGTGGTTTCTCCCACTTTCTTCATAGGGGTTTCTTTGCCATTTTTGATCACCAACCACAATTGGAAGTTGGTGGAACGAATATAGATTCTCATCCGTTCCTTCCAATAAGAGTAGTTGGTGCCATCAAAGAGTGGTGGCCTAGAGGTTGATTGACCTTCTCCAATTCCTGCATAGAGATTTCTAGATTAAGAGCCCATGATCGCTTTACTCTCAAACGGTTAAGTTTGGACGCGAGTTAGGCTCTGATACCAATTGTTAGAATAATAGACCAACGCTAGAGGGGGGGGGGGTGAATAGCGTTTGATCAAGAAATCGCAGGAATAAAAATGAATAAACGAGAAGTAAAGAGAAAAGAAAGAGGCACACCGATTTTACCCTGGTTCACCACAACTTGTGGCTAATCCAGCCTCCCGAGAGACTCTCTCGAGCTACACTACTATCTTGTTAAGCTTAACGGTGCTTAACAAACCCGTACAACTTGAGAATTCGAGTCACACGAACCTCAACGAACCTTCGAAGGAAACAACGCTGTCCTAGGCCTGGACATCGCTGTTCTAGGCTTGCAGTTTGAAAAATGGGAAGCAACGGTCATGCCAACAGCGATGTCTAAAATCCCTACATCGCTGTTTTGGCTGTTGACTTCCAAACAAGGAAAGTTTTAGCCTTAAATTCCTTCCAACGGTCAGATCTCTACATCGATGTTCTATACTAGAACATCGCTGTTTAGGTCTGCCTTTGAAGATGGAAGTTTGGCCTGACAACGCTGTTGCTGGGTCAACATCGCTGTCCAAAAACTTTCTGCCAATGCACTATATTTTTGGCTTAGGTTGGACAGCGCTGTAGGGAAGCCTACATCGCTGTTCCAGAAGTTTCTGGAAATCCAACCTTGGCTCAACAGCGATGTCTAATGTCCAACATCGCTGTTGGAAGACTTAACGCCAAACCATTTTTTTAGCTACCCAGGCCAGACAGCGCTGTTGGTTACCTCAACATCGCTGTTGGGCTGGTTTAGCCAGACCCATGGTTGGTTTAGTCACGCCGTTAGCCGATGTCAAAAACGCAAGTTCTCCAAAATAAAAACCAAGTTTAGAAAACATTTGTTTATTTCATTTTGCTAATAAATCAAGTAAAACATCTTGAAAACCACGTCATTTAGTTGAAAACCACGGCTAGCCAAGTTCGCACCGTTTCGCATGGTTTTCACTCAACGATCAAAAACGGAAGGTGGTTTTTGAGGCGCTTTTGTTGAAGAACTAATTAAATGTTCCCAGTAGTAAAAACCAGTCATAAAAAGTTGAAAACCACTTGGTTGGTTTGGACGCCAAAAACCAATGCCGAAAACCGAGAGCCAAACGCCGGTTTCTGAAAACCGAACGCTGGATGGCTTGGTTTTTGGTCTTGGGCTAACTCCAAGTGTTTTTGGGTAGATTAAAACTTATGAAAAACATTTTTGAGTTTGTAAAAAGAGTTTTGATGAAATGAGCCTAGAGAGCCAAGTTTTGAAAGTTTGTGCCGGTCTTGATCACATTAAGACCGACTCAATACAAATCTAATTCTTCGTTCTTGATTCTGGATTCTTGGTTCTCAAAACATCATGCCAAGTTCCTTCACCTTGGTTTTTGTTCTATTTAGCCTTGTTATGTCACGGCGGTTTGGCATTATCAAAACCTGTCATAGAAACGAACACAGTTTAGTACAACGTAGGCGTAAACTTGTGTTGCAACAGGTTTGCCTTGATCTACCAACAAGACGTCACCTTCATCAGACATGAGAAATCCATATCTGACCGGAGGATTACGTATCCGGTCTGACCTACGTGGTATATCTTGAGCAGTTTGAGGTTCAATTGCTTGATCTCTTTGCTCATGTTCCAACACTATCGGGACTTCTTCTTGTGGTTCTCGAATTTCTTCGAGGTCTACCTTTCTCCCACTAGCGATAGCAGAAAGAAACTCCTTCTCAAGGAAGGTTCCATTCTGATTAACGAAAATTTTGTTATCGGATGGATGATAGAACTCATACCCTCTAGTTTCCTTGGGGTATCCCACAAAAATTACTTTATCAGATTTAGGCTCCAACTTACTAGACGTCATGAGACGTTTTACATTAGCTTCACAGCCCCAAATCTTAAAGTATGAGAAACTCGGTTTTCTCCCACGCCATAGTTCGTATGGTGTGCTCTCGACAGCTCTAGATGGAACTCTGTTGAGTGTGTATGCTGCGGTTTTCAATGCATATCCCCAAAATGATTCTGGCAATGTTGTCAGACTAATCATGCTCCGGACCATGTCTAGCAAAGTCCGATTTCTCCTCTCAAACACTATTTAACTGAGGTGTCCCCGGAGGAGTGAGTTGGGACAAGATCCCATGCTCTTTCAGATAGTCATCGAGCTCCAGGCTTAAGTATTCACCTCCTCTATCCGAGTGGAGGGTCTTAATACTTTTGCCTAATTCTTTTTCTACTTCGTTCTTGAATTCTTTGAATTTGTCAAAGCATTCCGATTTGTGTTTCATGATATACACATATCCATATCTACTAAGGTCGTCAGTAAATGTAACGAAGTAAAAATAACCACCTCTAGCTACAGTGCTAATTGGACCACACACATCAGAGTGTGTGAGGCCCAATAAGTCACTCGCCCTTTCACCGTGACCGGTGAATGGAGCCTTTGTCATTTTACCAAGTAAACAAGATTTACATACATCATATCACTGGAAGTCAAATGAATCAAGTACACCAGAACGATGTAACTTAGATATGCGTTTCTCGTTAATGTGGCCCAAATGACAATGCCAAAGGTACGCGAGATTCAAACTGTTAGGTTTGTTTCTCTTAACATCTACGTTATATACTACGGTATCCATGTCGAGGACATAGAGACCGTTGGTCATTTTTGCAGTTGCATAAAATATTTCATTTCTAAAGACAGAAAGAGTTTTGTCTTTTACAACAAACGAAAATCCTGCTTTGTCAAGGCAGAATACAGAAATGATGTTTCTGCTCATACTAGGTACAAATAGACAATTATTTAACTTCAATACAAGACCACTAGGTAGAGATAAACTATAGGTTCTGACGGCTAATGCATTTACGAGTGCGCCATTGCCGACTTTTAGTTGTATCTCTCCCTGTGTCAATATCTACGTTCATGCAGATCCTGCATAGAAGTACAGATGTGAGACCCACATCCAGTATCCATCACCCAAGAGGTGATATCAGACATATTGACTTCAATAACGAAGATACCTGATGTTTGAGGTTTCTTTCCCTCTTTCCTCTCTGCCAATAATTTTGCGCAGTTGCGCCTGCAGTTGCCCTTTTTGCCACAATTATAGCATACAGCAGACTTCTTCTTATCTCCTTCTTTGGGTTTCAACGAATAGGATTTGGATGCTGGCTTGGGTTTCTTAGAGCCCTTGCGCTTGGTCCCGGCCGGCGAACGTGGCCCACTCTTCTTTGCAACAGTACTGCCCTCTACCATCAGGACAGACTTACCCTTGCCCTTCCCTAGACTCTCCTCAGCAGTTTTGAGGAATTTCAATAGCTCAGGCATAGTCATCTCTAGTTTGTTCATGTAGAAGTTTACTATAGTTTGACTATACTCAGCTGGTAATGATCCCAAGATGAGATCAGTTGCCAGCATAGTGTGCAACGGGGCGTCCAGTTTTTCAAGAGTTTCGATCTGGCCGATCATCTTGAGAACCTGGGGACCAACTGGGTTACCCGTTGCCAGCTTACTAGAAAACAGAGTCGTAGAGATTTTGAAACGCTCATGTCTAGCCTGGCCTTGGTATAGACCTTTCAAGCGAGTCATCATAGGATGAGCTTCCATGTCCTTGTGGAGCCTTTGGAGCTCCGGGGTCATGGTGGCTAGCATGAGACATCTCACATCACGTGCGTCATCTTCATACTTCTGGTACGAAGTAATTTCTGCAGCATGGGCGTTCGCTTCAGGAGCTTTGGGAGGCTCAGATGTTAGGACGTAAAACTTTTCTTGCATTCGAGAACAATGTTAAGATTCATCTCCCAATCAAGAAAGTTAGTTCCAGATAATTTTTCCTTTTCTAGAACATATCGCAGGTTGAAAGGGTTGTTGTTGTTTGCCATCTACAAAAATTTTGAAAAATAGGTTATCTATCATGTTTAATAATTAATTAAGCCTTTAATTAATTATCTCCCACTATTTTTACCAAATCAATAACCCTCGATATTGATTTGAAGATTTCCAGCGAAACCTCTAGTGGGCCAAGATCCATATTTCATTATCTTGCGTTCCGCTTGGGCGTTACTCCACAAGACAACTATTTAGGTAGGAACATAGTTCCAACTGATGAGCCGGGCTCTCAGCTCTCGGTCTGGTGTTGGGCGAACAATATTACTACAATCGGACCAGGACACCTTTTCACCATACTTGTAATTTGCGGAGGCACGTCTTACAAACAGACTACTTTGGTTAGGAACAGAGTTCCAATTAAATCATAAAGATCCAACTCCTGGCTGGATGAGTGAGTAAAATCATCCGACTTGTCATTGATGACCCCAACTTACTGCCTATGAGTCGTCCATCCATTTGACCGAGACTCAGTTAAGTCTAACCCAACGTGCGACAGCGACCACGTTATGGCGGTTCCCGTAACCAGCTTAACATACACCGTACTATGCTCTGCTGAGGCTGAGTACATGACAGTGCACATTAGCCGGATAGGTGCCGGGCGTCAGAAGGCAACAGACTTAATATTCGTGAGGGATTTATAATTTCGATCTCACCTATCGACATGGCCGCGCTTATGTCCATTACTAGCGTTCAACATGCATTCACAAAACGCAGTAAATAAACGTGTAATGATTGTGGCCCCTAAAAGAAAAATAAAACGATAGCTCCCACTGGCTTCCGGGCACTTGAACTTCGGGCTATCTCCATTATTTTAGATTTCTCCAAACGGTCATCAAATTTTTTCATCTTCTAACCACCACGTGAGAAAAGAATCCTCGGTTGAGGTAAGAGAGAGAAATAGATTTACAACAAGAGTTTAAAAGATAAGGCACGACACGCATGCCGTATTATAATCAAATAAACTATAGCCACAATCATCCACCATGCATATCGTACATCCACACAGGAAATAGATATATACATACACCGGGTGAACCGCGCTCACCCCAGACAGTTCTAGAAAAATACTACGGGAGTAAATATTTTCTAAAACTCATAACATTAAATTAGATGTCCAAATAAATCTAATAAAATTTTATAAAATCATTTTATATAATCTGGATATTCGGCCAGCATAAAAAAATTCCAGAATATTTCAAATGACCAAAATGCCCTTTTGCAAAATTATATTCAAAAAAGCCATTAAAATTTTGAAACAAATTTGCTAAAAATCATGAAAATTAAATTTCAACTTCCAGTAATTATTTTCAATATTTATAAACCTGGAAATAAAATTTCCAAAATTTATAAATCATTATTTCCAAAATATATTAGTTAAATCTCAATAAGTTATAAAAAGCCATTTAAATTGATTTCGAAAATATTAAATTATAAAAATTTAATATTTTGAAAAGCATTCTTTTTCTTACTGAGATATAACTTTCCAAAATATATATTAGTCATTTATGTAATTAAAATAAAAATATATAAATATATATAATATTTCGGTAATAAAACCAAGTACATATATACATATATATTTATTTAATTACTAACTAATATTATTTTGTGCAATATATTTATCAAAAACCTTATTCAACTTAGAAATAATATTTCCAAGTTTAATAAAGTTCATTTTGAATTTTCCCATATTTATTTTCAGTTTTCACCTAAATAAATACAATAAATTCAAAATAGGAAATAATACATTCAAAAATTACAATATAATTTTATCAATCATAAAATGATGTTTTATGTCCAAATAAAATTATATTTACTATTTATACAATATATATAAATATATATTTCGAAAAATCAAAATATATGTATTTATATATATATATTACGAGTAGAAATAAAATAAATAAATTTAAAATTCATTTTCAATGATTTATTTAAGTCCAATACTTATTCCAAGACTAAATAAAATCATTTTACCAATTTTTGAATTTTAATCATTACCAAGTTAAAACTTTGACTTTTAAAATTTTAAAAGTCAAACGTAAAACTATAGTTTTGTACATTGGCTCTGATACCACTGAAAGGTAACCATGCAAGGATAGGCAGCAGATTATAAAAATTTTAACATCCTAACATGATTATCTTGCCCAGAATCACGTACTAAAACTTATAGTGAGTAAGAAATTTATACCTTTCTCCGTAAGCGGTAAAAACGAAGAAGTCGTAGGAAGAGCGTTGAAAGTGCAAACGTAACCGTTCAAGCGTCCGGTCTCCAACTTTGACACACGAACAACGCCGGAGTCTACCACAATCTTTATGCTAGTAAAGATTATAGTAGTATAAAATATAAAGATTAAAATTNTAGATTTTCTTAGGTGAGCGAATTATAAGCTCCTTCGAGGGTTTCTTTTCGGTTCTTTACCTCGATGCTTTTTTTGAACCGACAGGATAGATATTAGTTAATTAGGGTTTGGGGAACCATTATTTAAGGTGGTGTACATCCGCATGGGAGAATATGAAAAATATGAATCACTTTTCCCCACTCTCTTTCTCTCTCTAGCCTTAACTCCCCACTCCTCCACTTCTTCCACCTTACCCACGGCCGTTCAAGGCCTCTCTTCTTCCCTCAATCCTTTCTCCTCTCCTTCTCATTGTTTCCAAAAGCTTGAAGGTGCCTTAACCTTCTTAAGTTGATACGTGAGTGTATCAATTGGTGCTTTCATTATGGCCGACGATTCTGCGTCGACGACACCGCGCGACCACAGGGATGAACGAATTGATGCCCTGCAGCAGACGATGCATCAAATGCAAACCGATTTGGAAGGCCGTTTTGCTCGCCTTGAGGCACTGGTTTTAGCCAATCGGCCGGTTTTGCCAACGCCGCCTCATCTCCGGTTTACCCCAGGCGTATCGGGTGAAGCCGCAACGGCCTCTCATGCACATCTGCCCAAACCAAAGTTGGAGGCGCCCAAAACAGATGGCACAGAACCCCTCCGTTGGCTTTACAAAGTCCAGGAGTATTTCACTTTTTATGATATACCGCCAACCGAACGTCTCCGTTGCGTGGCCTTAATGTTGGAAGGTCCTGCTGCGGATTGGTATCAGTGGCGACGGAACGGCAACTTGATTAGAGATTGGGCAGATTTTGTGGAGAAATTTAAGCTGCGGTTTGATCCCCTACATTATGTGGATTACTTCGGTCAATTGGCAAAGCTTCGCCAGACCGGATCTCTTATGGACTATCAAGCGGAGTTTGAAAAGATACTCCATCACGTTACAGGTGCGTCCGAGACCAATTTGATATCCTTGTTCCACTCGGGACTTAAACCTCATTTACAACATGAGATTGCTCTGTTGTCTCCGGAAACTCTATCGGATTCCTTCGCCCTAGCTCGCGAATTGGAGGCAAAGCACAATGCTCTCTTGCACACTGTCACGCATCGCCAACCCCAGGGGCTGTTCACTGGCCAGACCCGTTCCCCTCCTGGTCGGCAGCAACCATCCACAGTCGCTTCCCCGACAGAGGGGAAATCATCCCTAGCCACACCGATTCGACGCTTGACACGGGCGGAGAAACTCGAGAAAGACGCTAAGGGTTTGTGCTATAACTGTGATCAGCGTTGGATGAAGGGACATCGTTGTGGACACGTCCTATTACTGATCGGGGATGATGACGATGCGCCCGATTGTGAACATGATGCCGAACCAGCACCCGTAGAGGACCTCTGCGTCACCGCCGATATTTCTAGCCTTCAAAGCTTATCTGGGTCAGCAACTCCTCGGGCTTTAAAACCCCCGGGGGGACTATTGCAGCCGCTACCCATACCCGTGCAAGTGTGGGACGATATCTCGATGGATTTTATTGTGAGCTTGCCACCATCGAGAGGCTTTTCGGTTATTTTGGTTGTGGTCGACAGATTGACGAAATTTATTCACTTGGGAGCTTTGCCGGCAGATTTTGACGCACACCGCGTGGCATTCTTATTTGTGGATATCGTGGTTAAGCTCCATGGGTTTCCGAAGACGATTATCTCTGATCGCGACCGGGTCTTTGTGAGTAAATTTTGGCGGCACTTACTCAAATTGAGTGGGACAACTCTGCACCATAGCACCGCCTTCCACCCACAAACGGATGGGCAAACTGAGGTGATGAACAGGGGGGTCGAACAATATTTACGGGCTTTTACTCACGACACCCCAAACCGGTGGACAATCCTGTTGCCATGGGCGGAATATGCATTGAATACAAGTTATCACAGTGGGTTGGGCATGACTCCTTTTCAAGCCCTATATGGCCGTGAACCACCAACTATTTTACCATATTCCCAAGGGGAATGCTCACTACCAGCTGTGGATACACTCCTCACGGAGCGAGCGGAGATCCTAATTCGTCTCCGTCGGAATTTGGAATTGGCGCAACAAAGGATGCGGGCAGCAGCCAATAAGCATCGTCGTGAGGTTCATTTTGAGGTCGGTGATCTCGTCTTGTTAAAGTTACAACCGTACAGGCAGCACTCGGTCGTGACACGCCGGTCACAAAAGCTTGCCCGGCGTTATTACGGTCCCTTTCGCATTACAGCCAAGGTGGGTCCGGCGGCCTATCGTTTACAACTACCGGCTAGCTCCCGCATACACCCCGTATTCCATGTTTCCCTGTTGAAACCCTTCCGGGGGACGCTTCGCGCATCTCCCCTTTGCCATTACCTGGGGAATTCCGCCATGGGGACCCCGTCTCAAGGCCAGTTCGTATTCATGCTCAGCGCAGAGTGCTTGTCGGAGGAGCTACGGAGGTACAAGGGTTAGTGGAATGGTCGGACGGCGACAAGGACGATGCTACGTGGGAGCCCTTGGACAAACTACGCCAGTTCTACCCGGACTTACACCTTGAGGACAAGGTGGTAATTGAACAGGGGGAGAGTGTTACGACCGAATCCCAGGGCGAGGTGCATGGCGAACCACGGACGCAGGCACCGGAGCAAGACGACGTGGGAGCACATCCATGCAAAGAGTTACGTCGGGGGTCGAGGGAAAGGAGACCTCCGGCGTGGCGGAAGGATTATGAGACTTAATATTTTATTTGTATTTAATTTATTTTATTGTCGTTGTACCTTAGATTTTCTTAGGTGAGCGAATTATAAGCTCCTTCGAGGGTTTCTTTTCGGTTCTTTACCTCGATGCTTTTTTTGAACCGACAGGATAGATATTAGTTAATTAGGGTTTGGGGAACCATTATTTAAGGTGGTGTACATCCGCATGGGAGAATATGAAAAATATGAATCACTTTTCCCCACTCTCTTTCTCTCTCTAGCCTTAACTCCCCACTCCTCCACTTCTTCCACCTTACCCACGGCCGTTCAAGGCCTCTCTTCTTCCCTCAATCCTTTCTCCTCTCCTTCTCATTGTTTCCAAAAGCTTGAAGGTGCCTTAACCTTCTTAAGTTGATACGTGAGTGTATCAGCTAGTAAAGATTATAGTTGTATAAAATATAAAGATTAAAATTGGGATACTAATAATCTTGTATATTTCTTATAGAAAATATTTCTAATAATATTTAGAAAATATTATGGATATTTTCTATACACAAAATGATATTAATAGAACACAAAGTATTTTCTCTCACTAGCTAAAAATGTAATGGCCGAAACTTAAAACAAATTGATGATCTCCCCTTCTCTTTGCTAATGGTGCGTGAGGTGTTTGCCGAAACTTAAAACAAATTGATGATCTCCCCTTCTCTTTGCTAATGGTGCGTGAGGTGTATATTTAAAACAAAGATGTGATTAATTTTGTCATTAGCTAAATGACAAATAAATACCCCACTCAAAATTCAATTAAAGAAAATTTTGATTCTCCTCAATCCAAAATGGCCGAACCAATCATTGTGATTGTGAGAAGGATTTTCAAGTATACAAATATACTTTAAATAGTTTATGTCAAATTAATTATTTTCATAATTAAAATGACAAACCAAAATAAAATATTATATATATATGTATATATATATATATAAAATATATACATACATACATACATATATATATATATATATATATATATATATATAGAATTCTCACTTTGGGTAAATACGTTTCAGAATCTGATGATAATTTTGTAAGTGAATTTGAAGGTGATCTAGATAAAATCTGCCGACCAATTAAAGGCCAAAATCAGCTCGACTTCTCTATCCAGGCTCCTAAACCAAAAAAGAAAGGGAGGCAGCGTACAAAATCTCTAAAGAAGAAGAAGAAGACTATGCATTGATTCTTTCAAGGCTTTTGAAGATTCTGTTTGGGTAAAAATGCAGTTAGTTGGTTACCACATACCCAGAACTCTTTTGCTAGGGGTCTTCCTTTTGATTACAGAATATTTTAAAGATTTGCCTACTCATGGGTGCCTTTGGATTTAATGGAGCATCTCAGTCTTTGTTCAGTATCTAGATGCTTTATATACCATATATTTTGGTTGCCATTGCATTAGTATCAGTTGCACCGTTTGGCTTGTGTGTGGAGAAACACTGCTTTTTCATTCTCAGTGATGAATATTGGCATAAACATTGGTGGCAGATGTACCCTAGCCTGCTTGGTTTTGGCAAACGTGTCTCTTACTCACATCTTTTCTGTTTGCTTTGGTATCTGCAACACACATGTTTTTGTATCAACACAATATGGACAGGGACAAGAATGGCAGGGGAGTTACTTTTCTTTGAAACAATGAGGGAATTGGCACGGCTGGTCTTCCTTGGCTGGGAATAATAGCTGCCACTATTTCTGTCTTCTTTTGAATGAAGTTTAGCCACTACTTGGAGTATATTTTGGGCAGGCTTCCCATTCACTGTCAATCTTTACATATCTTGTACCTTTTATTGTTGGTTCTCATCAAGACTTTTATTCCCGGATTGGCTTTTTTGTGGCCTTGTTGTTGGGGTTAGGCCAGCCCCCTCCTTTGTACTGTTCTATCCTCTTTTTAATAATAATTTTCATTTTCATTATATATATATATATATATATATATATATATATATAGAGTTTGGTCCAAATAAGAATAAGATCTAATGAAAGAAGTGAGAATAGTTTTAAACCGTCCGATTTACAAGATTGCAAATACTTCCGTGTCTCTTTCAACAAAGTCCAGAAGGTCACTTTGGGTATTTCCCTTGTGTCGGCATCTCTCTCTAATTAACATTATTCACCTTCCATCTTTTATTCCACAAGTTTTAGTTTTATATATGGAATGAAAAGTTAGGTTTCCTTATACGTATGAAATTGGAAAATTAGTTTTTATTGAGATGAATTAATTCAATTATTTTCAGCAACATAAGAAATTGTCTGAACTGGCGGAGCAGCGACGACCTAGATAGATCGCAGCGCATGAAGGAGGTTGGAGCTTGGCCTTGAACAAGTGGTTGAATCCCAAATCGAAATAGAGAGGGATAGCGGCAACAATCCTATACATATGATGTGTAGTAATTAAGTTTATCGCTTCTTTCCCTCTTTATTACAAGATTTACACAAATATATTTTATGTTAATTTTTACATTATGTAAGGTTAAATGCATGTCATCTCCATCAAAATGATTTAACTTATTTACCCACCTTTTTGTGATTTTTTATTTAATTTTTTTCAAATTGTTCTTAAATGTCTAATGCATATTTTCCTATTGATTTTTTATTACTCTATAATTATTAGATAAGTTAAATCATGTTTTTATTGGTTTAGTACATGTATTTTCTTTGCTCCATTAAATATTCTAATATTTACATCTTTTGTTTTTATTTATGCGTATGTTAGTCTGTATGGTGCATATTGTAAGTAGGAGCATTGCCTTTTCCAAGGTAATGCATTCTTATTCACAGTGTTTCCAAGAAAAAAAATTGAGGCCGTATTTTTGTTATTGTGAATTTTTATAATGCTTTAGAACCTTGAATTTTTGGCCTATATAGAAAGGAATTAGGCCAAATGCATTTTTATGTATTTTTTAAGTTTTTGTCAACTAAGGGTTCGTGTTATTATGCATTATCAGGACACATGTAATGCATTTGCATGATAAGAAAATGCATTATAAGAAACAAGGTAAGGATAATGCATTCTTAGTGTTGGAATTTTTGGCATTTTAATTGGCATTAAATGGACCAATTTGGGTATATTTGTCAATAGGTCCACTAACGGTTTTAACCATTTATTAATGGACGTGTGTTCTCTTAAATGAGATAAATGTTCGACAATTTATACGCCAAAAATGGTAGAGGGTGAATGAGAAATTGATTCTCAGAGTTAACCCGTTAATAAAAGAATATGGTGAGGATTGCAATTTTACTGAACCAATCTTCTTTTATTAATTTTACGTATTGTTTAAAATTAGTCCATTTTTACGGAGTTAACTGGCCATTAATCTCCAATTATTCGGGACAAATTTTAAACGGAGCGTAGCGTAACGGATGTGTTAATGGCTAATTAATCACCATTAACACCACTAATGCCATGATTAATTCAATGGGTTAATGGTGTAGGAGTTACAACTTTTTAAACTCCTTTATTATAAAAATCAAAGGCTCTCACATTTTGGTTTGTGTGTGACTTGCGTGAGAAAGAGAGAAAGGAAAAGTGAAAACATTTCTTTTGTTTTCTTTTAAAAGAGAGCTCTTGGTTTTCCGTCCAAATTTCCGGCCATCCCCTTTTAAGTTTTTGGTCGCCAACGTTCGTTGGTGTGTGGCTGGTCCGTACAATCTCCACACACGATAGCGGTTTTATCCTGGGAGGAGGGTGCCCACATTTTTCCGGTACGGTAGGCGGGCACTACTACCTTAAGGACAGCTCCGGCGACTCCGCTGTCCTTCCACGGTGTTGTGTTTTTGCAGGTTCAGTTCATAAAGACCTCGCTGCATTCTGTCCTAGTGCATAATGTCCTCGCAGCCCAGTGCATAATGTCCTCGCAGCCCTGTGCATAACGTCCTTGAATCGCTGTCCAGTGTTTAAAGACCTCACTGTCCAGTGCTTAAAGACCTTGCTGTCCAGTGCTTAACGCCCTCGCTGTCCAGTCCTTAATGTCCTCGTACAACAAGGCCATTTGAAGATATAGAAATTTATTTTCAACTTTATTTATTTTGTAATATTCTGAATAAATTATAAATTCAGAATTTTATTTATTGTTTATTTCCGGGGCCGTTCATCTTCCCCGTCCGTTGTAATCCGTACAAAAATTGTAACAATCTTAAGGTAGTAGCCATATCCGTGCGCAATGGCGGGTATGGACGGATGACGCTCACACCGGAAACGGGAGTAGTTCTGAGACTCCGATTGTGAACGTTTCGGCTGGATTGGGTGGCTCTGTTGGGCAGACCACTCCGATCAACATTCCTTTCGGATCGAGTGCGGCCATGCCGATCACCACCTTCGTTGGATCGAGCGCGACTATGGGGTCCGCTCCGGTTACCTCGGTTATTGGACCAACCGCGGCTACGGCTGCAATGGTCACCCCACTCGGACCGAACATGGCTTCGGCCATACCGGTCATTCCCTCACTTGGACCGAACACGGGTGTCTTCACATCCACACCGGTCGGACATCCTACTGTCATGCTGCCTGCAAACTCTGTCAAAGAACCGGCAAAGTTCACAGGTGTTGGCTTTAAAATATGGCAGCAAAGGATGTTATTTTTGCTGACCACCCTCAACCTTGCGAGGTACTTGAGGGAGGATCCCCCTATTGTGGGGGAGAACGCGGACGAGCCAACAGTTCAGGCTAAAGAGGCATGGATAGCGAATAACTATACGTGCCTTAATCTTATCCCGAATTGCTTGAGCGATGCCTTATATGCTGTTTATAGCAGGGCTGCATCCGCAAAGGAGTTATGGACTACACTGTCCAACAAATATCAGGCCGAGGACGCCGGTGCGAAGAAATTCGTTGTCGGTAAGGTCTTGGATTTTAAGATGGTGGATTCCAAACCCGTGGTCAGTCAAGCTGAAGAATTGATTCTCATTTTTAATGAGTGCACTGACGAGGGAATGGGAGTCAGTGAGGCATTCCAAGTGGCGGCGATTATTCATGTGCTCCCGCCAGCTTGGGATGAGTTCCGAAGCTATCTCAAGCTCAAACGGAAAGAAATGACTTTAGAACAGTTGCTTGTTCGTCTCCGGATCCGTGAAGAGGGTCTCACTCGCGAGAAGAAAGTAGCTGTTGCTAAGGCCAATGTGGTGGAGCATCCA